AGTTTGATTGAGGGATACCGAGTTTAGTGTTTTGTTAAAAAAAAATAGGTAGATGAATATTATAATTTTGAATGATTTTAAAAGCAAGCAATAATCAAAGCTACAGTAAGTGTCAGATAACTAAATGTACATATGGTTAAATTTGTGATTTGTGTTTACGTGTAAATTGCAATTATTTTTTGGAATTGCACATGTTTAGACTAAGCTTCCATACGAAATGCAGATTAGTAACGATGATGAGTAGATTAGATTGCAGAAATAGTAAATTACTGGTTTGCAATAAAAACAAGTTTCTCGAATAACCTGTACGCATCACCTGTATCCTTTGGGTATGGGAGGTTTTCATTGTCAATGATGTAATGGAAGTATTCTTGGTATGTGCTTAGTTCAGTCTCTGAACTTGCTTCCAAATTATTTTCCATTTCAAGCATGTGACATTTTTTAACATGGACTTTGCAATCATTCACTCCTTGCTGCTGTGGAAGAAAGTAAAGGACATCAGGGATACCAGGTACAGTTCCATGTCGTGACGGCCGGATTCGATGAGTGTTCCAATGCAGTTTCACGTGATCAAGATCATCTTGGATCAACCTATTGTAGCAGAACCATAAACATTCTCTTTGTAGCTCACTTCCCAATTCCACCTCACCATTTAATACCAAGCTTTTAAACAAATCAATCCACCAGGAAGACCGCCCTCTTCTGAGAAATGACCACCAACATTCGATGCGTTGGTTTGCTGGAGAGGTACCATATCTGTGAGCGTTTTCCCCAGCAAATCTATCTTCCTGATACTGTCTGAAATATGCCTGCATAGATGCCATAGTGCCATTTTCTGTACCACAGTCAGTTCTTAATAATATTGGACAACCATCAGACTCTTGGACACAATCCAAATACATTGCAGCTATCAATTCAGGGTTGTTGTTAGACCTTGAGACCTCCAACCATAGGATTTTCCTGCTATACCCATCTATAGCTCCATGAACTGGGAACCCATATGGTTTCAGCTTATCATATCCTGTCAATAAAAGAAAAATATGCATGTATCAAGGTGGGCGATACTAAATCAATGGCGAAAATCTCTGTGTTAATTTAAAAACTGAACTAAACATTGATAACACTATACCTATAGAAAGTTCTCTACCTTGACGTTTTTTTTTAAAGATGGCTTTCTTGAAAACAAAATGGCTTTTCTATAATTCTAAACGTAGTTTCTTATAGCTGTGTAAGTTGCACTCGCACCGTATTAACTGTCTCCACCTCTTTGTGTACTATCGTACGTATATTATTCTATTAACTGCAAAAGCTCTCTTGAATAAATCTTATTCTTTGTGGCACCGTCACACTTTCTTGTGCTTTGAATATTAAGTGTTAACATTTCTACACACTTCTGGTAAGACGGAGAAACCCGCCTACATTGGGACAAAGGGATTGATTTAAATATTCGGGGCTACTCATTTTGCATTTTTTTAACAAATCGGGTTGTTTTATTTATTAATGCTCATAGGGTCTATGTCCCCCAGGGTACTGCCGGAACGTTCTCCTTAACTTAAGGTATAGGGAGGAAATGCAGAATTGCGGCACAAATCTAAACGACACATTAATTGGAATAATGGGAATTTAATCCATTCATGGGGATTTTGTGAGTTCCTGTTACCATGGAAAGTGTCCATGATTTGGTTTCTGGAAAATACTTCTTGCTACTGTACAAATAGGGTAATACCAACTTAAACCATGTCACAGGTAGATGCTTCCTTTCTTGACATTGATAAGATATTATCAAAACTACTTGAAAAGTAGTCCTTAAAAAATAATTCGAGTATGTAAAAAAAATAACAGTGATTGAATATTTTGAAATGCCATTCTATTAACTGGCCATATTGTCCTAGTTAACACAATTCAAGAACTTTCTATGTTCCCTACTAGTCATTACTTAGTAGTCCTGGACTGACTATCAACTGCCTCCGCTTGCTTGATCAGTGTTCAAGTATCTTTGAGCAAGTGGTCTGAGGGATCAACTATAGTACAAGAAAATGGCTAATAGATTCCACCATTAAATTATCTGCAACAGAAGTATGAATACAATGTCCTGATGTGCCTTTTTTCTTTCAGGGCAATGAACGTCAAGAGCCAGTTGGCAGACTTTATGCCACAACTGATGCAGTTGCAGCAAGGTATGGCCAGTTGTGGCTTGTTGGATTCCGTAAAGAACAACCCAAAACTTTGGGAAGCTGTTTTCATAGATGTGCCTGGCCCAAATGCCACAACTGGAGAGTATTTGGAGAACTTGGTAGCGGTCTTCAGTGAATCCCAGGTCCTCAAGAATGAAGAAATAGATGTGTACAAGCTGTTTAGTGACTTCATCGAATCTTTGACAGAAGAAGGTATGTGCATGTTTTCTGTTACTGACTGACACTATACATGTAGGCGTACAGCTGGGATTGTGTGTGCAATTAAAATCATAACGTTTAAATAGTTAGCATATATAATCATCTGATGTGACCAGAGATTTTCACATTGTGTCTAAAGATTTGCTGTGTCACAAATCATCCAGTCTCTTTAGTTTTGTACTACAACTTCCCTGTCTAACAAACATAATTCAGACCAAAATGTTCAACAAGCCACAAAATTGTAACAAATATATTTCTGTCGAAGCCCTGAATCAGATTTCAGTTCAATATAGGTAATGTATGCCAGGGCCTTTGATCTTGGTTACTAACCTTGGAAAGCAGCTCAATTTTGTCAGGACCTAGCTTGTACCAAAACAGTAATATTGTGAGGATGTATGTTTTTTTCCAGGAGACCTTACTATCTCGCACTTGTTGAAGTGGACGACAGGATCACCATCAGTTCCTGTCCTGGGATTTGGCAAGCCCTTTTCAGTTGCCTTTGTGCATTGCCAGGATGGTTGCAGGTGCAGGCCAACAGTGTCAACCTGTGACATTGTAGTAAAGCTTCCTGTCCACATCAAAAGTGAGGAAGAGATGCTAGCGATGATGACATCTGCTGTCAAGGATAGCTCAGGATTTGGTCTAGTGTAGTTTAGTTTTATCTGTCTGCTGGAACAATGTTTCGTTACAGTTTATGAGACAGTGATATTTTCAGCAATTGACTGGAAAAAGTGTTTGTTATCTAGAATTTAGTACCAAATTTTGTACCAAATTTTTGTACCATGGCTGTCAAGCCT